TAGAACCGGAACCTAAAGATCTGCGAGACGGTTCCGGCTCTGCAGGATGTTCCCGGTCCCACGCGGCTTTTAATCGGACTGAGACCAGGTGTTTTTGAAAATAGCCTTGTATAGAGTCTAAATATTTTCTGGGTTCGGTGCTTGTTTGTATGAAGGCACTAGTTCTGCTAAAAAAAACTCATATAGAATTCCAAAATGTCTCAGTCAATAGCACCCACGTATGCTGTCCCACGCCCTGCATTACAAACCGCTGGGTTTCAAGCTACCTGCGTTACTTTGAAAAAATATTTACGATCGATCTTTGCCACCAGATTGTAAGAATAACTTCTGAGGCACTCTTTATTCTGAGTCAATAACTTCTTAAGAGCCACCCCCTCAGAAAAAAACTTTTTTGTCTTATATCTGATTTTGATGACGCTTTCAGCAAATATTTGCCATATTAAGGGGTGGTTATGAATTTTTCTTTCCTTGCTATCTCTTACCGTTTCCAGAGTCCAAGGTCAAAAACCACCCTCCACTGTGGGACACATTTTAAATATACTTCAAGCTAGAGATCTCGGGCTGGTTTTATTTTAAACTAGACATCTGTTTGCGTGGACTGATGGGATCAGATTTTTGATTTAGGTCTTTGTTCGTCTTCTACAGGTTCAAGATCCTCAAAAGCTCCAAAAACCCTTTCGGATTTTCCGAAGATCTTTGATTTTCTAGTAAACTACGGCATAATTCAAAAATCGGCTGCCGTCAGTCCACGCCGTTAGGTGTCTGGTTTAAAATAAAAGCAACCCGAGATCTCTAGCTTGAAGTATATTTAAAAAAAGTGTCCCTCACTGGACATGTTCGAACAAAAAACGTGTTTTGAGAGAAAACACTATGCATCCGTTGGTGTATCTTAGGACGTATAGGAAGATGCTTGTAATTTTTAAATGCAAGATCACACAGTTGTACAACGTTTTATTTTGATCAAAAAAGTCTACTCTAAAAATCGACGTGTTCAGAAAAACTTTACTTGCGTAAAATCCGAGCGTATCCAGAAAAAAATTATTATCTGAAGACTCTGGTTTTCAAGGCTTCTATAAAACTTGCTCGAAAACCACGAAAAACCAGTTCTGGACCCAAAAGCGATGCAGATTCTGAAAGTAGACACTCCAGGCTATCTTTCCATGTGCTTGTCTCTAAATTGATTTTGTGATACAAAAAGATTTCATTCTGGGGGGGCTTTTAAAGGACTATTGTGTTCTCACATAATAGTATTGAACATTTACGCAACAAAACCATGATGAAAGTCAGTCTTGGGATATTTTATCTATCTTCCGAATAATTTTTGTTGACTTTACTGCTCAAACGTGGATTTATTCTACGATCTTCTCTTTCATGAGATATTTTCATACTAAACTAAGTAGACACTTGTAATCCCCATTGAAAACTGGAACGTATTGAGGGATCATACCATTTCAAGACAAAGAACTTTTCGTGCATCAGTGTCCCGTGAAAATGACTTCTTGAGATTACAAAATAAAAATCTGTTGGTCAAGTTGTGTGATCCCTCATTCGATTCGGTTTCCACTCACGAATAAGAATATAGACTTGGTGTTGGCTAAAAGTCTTTGTTGAAATAGAAAATCACAAAACAGGTTACCATTTGACCAATAAAAGGCAGCGAAGGGTTTTTGCACGAAGACCAGCGGGCACGAAAAAAATAAGGTAAGGTTCCTTTTGATTTTCGACCCTTAATCACCTTGAGTCCTTTGACAGAGAAGCCGTAGCAAACAGATTATCTACTCCCTCGCTGATTTTTAAGAGTTTTTTAAAAATTCACTCAAATCTGTCGACTGTAATAAAAGGTTACAAAGCTTACACTTTGTACGAAAAAAACTTTTAATGTTAAAAAGTCGTTAAAACTTTAATCCGCAACCCAATTTTCGTCCCCCTCTCTGGCTTTTATTCCTCATTGCATTCGTGTCCTTTAATACTCGAGACTCCTGAAGTCGCCAACATCAAGATCTAATAGTTTCAGATTTTATTTTATTTTTATTTTCAATTTTCATAGTTTATTTTCAACTGATTCTACAACATCTGACATAAATCCGCCAATTTTGAGGTGATTACTTTCAGAATTTCGTTAAATAAACCCATAAAACCACACGCACCATCGCCACTTTCTCCGACACTCACTCTTTTAGCATTCGCAGTAGGTAAGGGTAGTTCGATAAAAAAACCGGCTTACCTTCAATTTGTCCAGTTTCTGGCGCTCCTTGTCCAAAATTTGCCCAATCATTTGCTCCATATGTAAAACCATTTTTCATTGCTCGATCAGTCACATATAAGACACCTGTACTTCCAGGTTGTACTATTCCAGGAACTTCATGAACTGATTGTGTTGTTTGATCTTGATGTGTATGTGATTTATATGAACGAAATATACGATGAGCTTCAGATTCATATTCATGTTGAATAGGCATTGATTCACGTCTGTTGTTGTTGGATATTTTGGTGCGGCTTGTCCAACTAACAACACGAGGTATAAAAGTAAGAAAATATGAAGAATAAAAATGGTGTAATAAACCTTTCACTAGAGGAAAGAAAAAGAAAAAAATTAGGGTATACATATATGAGGAATGATCATGATGAAAAAAACAAAACATCAAGCGACCAAATTTTTTTGTTCTTTCCTGACCTTAACAAACACAACTAAGAGAAAAAAAGAAGAAAAGAAGTTGATGCCGAAAATATAGGCGAAACATCATAATAGTCTACTGAATGAAAGAAAAGAAATGTAGTTAAGCCTCATTCTCTTAAGCGCGAGCAGACGAATACACAGCATGCTTGTTTACATATGAAAATGGAAGAATTATTTCCATCTGAAAGCAACCCGGCATAGGACACGTTTCGGGCCACTATGGTCGAGAATTCGCTGGTCGCGAATGCTCGGATCACTTAGAAGAACTGATATTGTTAGGCAGAGTATGTTGTATTAGAACCTATCCCGACACAATTGTCAGTATACGCATGGTTTCAACACTGAAGCTGAAGTCATAAGTATCGAAAAACTTTGTAAAAATTTCCTACGTCCCAGGTGGAGATCCGAAAAACGACGTCCTATTGTTCACTAACTATCTAGCATTAATGTCAACAGTACGGCTTTCATGCTAATGTGTTATCTAGTCTTTTTGAGGTTTATTCTTTGAAATGAACATGATTACGAAGCAATCCATTATACTTCAGCAAAACAACTCTCGCAGAGATACAGACATCAAGCTGCTATAAATGATATGCTGGAATTAGCATTCACAGTGCTTTGCTTACTATGGATCTTTGTCAGTCAATGGTTTGAATCTTTGTATATTTCAATGTCTCATTTTCTCAGTACAACTTACAATTTTTTAGGGATTGGTTTTCATAATGAGACAAAATTCACTGCATATATTTCATGCAGAATGAGAAATTTTCACAATAAAAACTAAATATAATTTAATTGAAAATTCAAACTGTTGCTAAAACAACCAAACAGTTACTGTGGTTACCAATATGAGTGTCAAAGGATGATTTATTTTGTGCAGATATAGAACGAGAGGTAAGTTATTATGATTTTTCTATTTTGCGGCTTAAGTTCAGCTACTGAAAGAGTCAGATCACACAAAAAGATGCCTTAGATGGTTGCTGCTTTTATAGATTATTGAGATTCACGACTTAAAACCTTAAGCTTCGTTCTCGTCGTGTGAAAGTTATCGTTCTTTGTTCGATAAGAACAGGGGATAGTAACACCCTTATACGGTGTGATGGAGTTGTGTTGCTTGTCGTGCCTTAACTCTGTCTTTCTCGAAGGAAACCATCTGACGAGACCCTTGAGAAAGATCGAAATGGTATCGTCTTTTGATTCTTTCAGAAATAAATTCTGTCTGAGTCTCTAGTAACTAAAAAGCGGTTGTAAAACTAACTAAACATAATAAAAAAGTTTAGAAACGATTATTGTATATTTTATCACTTCTTCTCAACGCAAACGGAGAGTGGCTCAGACACAACAACAAATCGCTGCATGTCAGGCACAAGTGGAATCGGCAAAAGAGCAACTCACTACGCAGCAAAATTACAGTCATTATCTAAAACAACAATAAATTATGCACTATTTGCGGGAGTTGTGTCAGAAAAAGAGCTTTGAGGATGATAAAAAGAAAAGTAATCTTTTTCAATCTAATTGCATGGCATCATATATGATCATGGATTTTAAAATACTTTGTTCTAGATTTTGTTCTTTCAACTACACGTCGGCCTGTATACATAACAGTCAATCATTGTGAAAATATGAATTATTTGTTTTCATCGTTTAAACCAAATCGCACATCGGTAGATGCAATTTTCGTCGCTGATTATGAATATCACCTAAACATCTTAACCAAAGTTAAACAATTCAACTTTACTGAAATGTTTTAATAGCATTTTCAATAAAATTCAATTTTCGACATCTTTTATAGCTAATTCAGTGTTAAAAACATCATGAGGTGAAAGTTTGCTAGGCAAATGGTATAATTGAAATGATCTGACTGAGTTAATTCTGTTAGTGAAACATTCAATTCAAAAAGTTCATTAGTTGTATTCTAGCGTGATGGCTATATGTATCAGTAGATGAAGACAAAAATATTCAATCCACATTATCATCAGAGAAGGTTGATAAGTCAACAAGAAAACGTTTTGAATTGAATAACCGATTATGATCCTTGCCGTTATATCATTTGCACAGCAAAATATCTAAAGAACATACATCGATCAAAATATACTCAAAAGACCATCCAATTTTTTTACGGAGTGGCTATTGACACCTACTGGAGGTGGTAGAAAGAGCTATTGACACCTCCAGGATTTAGCGACCGAACCAAACTTGCCATCGAAGAGCTGTCAACAACACCACCAGGCTTAGAGGCGACAGGAAGAGCTATTGAGAATGTTCAACATACGTTGAACAGTACGAAACCTAATTCAGAGCAGTTCATGTTTACTACTACCATCTCTAAGCCTGGTGGTGTCAATAGTTGTTTTGTTGTTGACACTCCTGTAGGTGTCAATAGCTTTTCTTGACACCTCTTCAATTGCAAGTCTAGTTCGGTCGCTAAATCCTGGAGGGGTCAATAGCCCTTCATGCCACCTCCGCTAGGTGTCAATAGTTGTTGTTGACACCCTTTAGTGGTGTCGATACTTATCATATACAATTTAGTGTGGCCTTTCGAAAACTAATTTGTAATTTATTGTTTTGAACATTTCAGAAGTTTTGTCGCACATAATCTAAGAAGCAAAAGTTTTTACAAATACAAACATAGTAAACTAAACATGCTCAAAAAAGACGTCAATAAAAAAATAAACCAGAACAAAAAAGATATATCGTCACAATGACCTTCATAAGAGAACCTTCGCCAGAAAACCGATCTAGATACGATAAGGCTGTCTGGAGGTAAATTTTATTTTATTTTTATTCAGGTCTCATTCAAAAGAACATATAAAATAACCACTAACCCTGCAATAACTCTTTTTGAAAGTGCTTTTTTTTAAAACTAGAGGCCAAACACTCTATTGAGGGTCATTCTTGTTACCAAAAAATGTGAATTTGCACAAATTTCCGATTTCCAATTTTCCCAAAAACTATTAAACTCCTATGATTGGTTCGTGACTCATTTGAAAGAGCGATCGTTGCTCTATAAGATCATGTATTTAGACATAATAATATGTTTAACTATCTAGGACTAAATAATAGAAAACTAAACTATTCCATTAGAACAATTTTTGAAGTTCTTCTAGATTCGATCTGCCGATCTTTCATATGCTGCACTTCTCCAGCTACGTATTTTCCCATTGTACTAAATTGTGCAAAAGAAAACTACGAGCTAGGATAATACATTCGTTTGAAGACCGTACACTTACGTATATATTTAAATAGTCTTTACAAGTGATCACTCACATGTTACTAGCTATATTGCTTTACCAGCAATGCTAGTGATAAGGCACCAAAGATGATGTTGTATAATTCTCTCGAGCGGTTAGAATGAGGTTTTTAGAGAATACTGTTTATAGGAGAGTTTTGTGGTGTTTTTTTCTGATGAAAGGTCGGCAGATCGAATCTAGGAGAAGAACTTTGAAAATTGTTCTGATAAAAAAACTCTCCTATAAACAGTAATTTCTAAACTATTCCATATTTTTAAAATTCCGCTTTTTCCAGTACATTCTAAATATAGGCCATGTATACGGCAGTACCAAAATAAATCTTACTTCATTTTGTAGAGCGGACAACAGGCGTATTAGATCAAACAGTTGACGCTTGTTTCATAATGAAGCACTAAAACAAAGTTAATGAAACCTAGCGTTTAAAGGTTTGAAACTAACGAAATTTTGTGTAATATGATATTTTGATTACACAGCAGTTGAGATCTGATTGAGAAAATTGAGAATTACAGACAAAATTCTGACTGTTTTGACACCTTAAATATCTTTCAGAAGCTTTTCAATCACATTATTCGATAGTCCCTTCAATTCTTTTATTTAAGGTCACTAGATTTTCTGGAAAATCGGATTTTTCAAAAATCTCTTTATCAGGGCTGCGAGGTCTAGTATAAGTTTTCTTCATCGAAATATATAGAACTCGATGCGCTGTTTCATTTGATACCAAGTTCAAAGTTCTACGTTAAGAAATGTGGTGAGCAGACGTTCTCAAAGTTAGGCCAAATCCGCTAGAAAATGCATTTTCCCGCTGCGAGAGTAAAATGCCTATAACTTTTTTTCTAACGAGGCTAGAGACTTGCGGTTTTTACCGTTCACTTCAGCTTGCTGAGCTCTTTAATACGATGCAGGTCGTGCCACTGACATCAAAGGTCGATGTAAATGGTAGCTTTTATATGGATCGAGCCTATCCGTCGATGCCGAAAACATCACTCTGCAGTAGTAATATCCGAAAAAATGAGTGTTCGTACTTTCAGCTACAAATGAATTACCAGCCATTTTGTAGAGTATTGAAAGAGCTTTCTTTTGATATATAATGTAGACCGCAACCTAGGCTGTTTCATGATAAACACACAGAAACATTATCCACCATTATGCTTGAAAACATCACCCTTCAGTAGTAAAATCCCAAAAAGTGAGTGTTCGCACTTTCAACTAGAAATGAATCACCAGCCATTTTGTAGAGTTTCGAAAGAGCTTTCCTTTGATATACAATACAGACCGCAACTTAGGTTCTCTCAGGGTGAAAGAACAGATATACTATCGTGGACTATGCTCAAAAGGTCATTTTTAACAGTAATATTGCAAAAACGTGGATGTTCGCAGTGTACATAACAATTGAGCAATAGATAGTTTTGCTCGCCGTTTAAAGCTGCATCGAATGGTATATAAGACTTTCCTTCAAACTTGTTGTATTCTGAGAAAATTACGAAAAAGGATGGGCTCGGAACGGGCTCGCGGAGCTGTTATTCAAAGCTGATCGATTTTCTAACAGATATGAGGTCCGAAGGGGAAGCAAGGGTGTAGAACCCCATAAAACTGTACGCTCTTTCACTCTAGATACCTTTCGAGATGATCTAAAATAGGACCGATCCTCGTTCTTATTGCACCTCATTCTTTAAAATCTAAAAGTGGAACTGTTTTAAAATCGAAATTTCTCAATTTTTTTCATAGCGATAGACGTTTTCAAATACACCATTGAATAGTGCTTGAAAAACTGAACGAACTTAGGGGTTTTGAGAGTTTTCAGAAAGTGAATGCAACAGGGTTTAAAAGGACTTCCTAGAAATCTTTAACGATATGCGGTTCTTTCCAACATTTTTCATCTGCTGTTAATTAATTTTTGATTGCAATTCAAATTAATATTCTTTGATAGTAAAAACAGTTTTAACATTTGAATAGGTTTTCAGGAGGTTTTCAAAGGGTTTTGAGGTAATTTTAAGGTGCCAATAATTTCAAATTCGATAAAAATTTTGTTTTCAACTTATTATACCCCGTTTTGAAGTTAGATTCGGTGTATAACATGCCTATTCACACGGGTTTTGCAATGCTGTGTTTGTTGATTTTCCTTTTAAGAAATTTATGTTATTTTTATTTTTAAATTCTTTTTCTTGTTTTGATGTAATTAATTCACTGAACTGAAATATTCCCACAGTTTTTCCCACC